TCCATTAGAGACGATCAATAATTGTGGTCTCTAACCGACCACCTTTGATCCTAAAGCTATTAATCACAATAATCTAAATTCATCAACAAATACCAAAATGATTACTACTAAGAATATAAATACAAAAATATCATATTGCAAAAGGGGGTAGGAAGATAGAGATAACCGTGCGATTGATTACAATAAATTGGTTAACATCCCATGATGTTAGTTTCGATATTTGTTTAACAAAAAAACTTGGATAACATCCAAAGTTTTGCAAAACATTCGTAGCAAACTAACAAAAAGTTACTGCATCTTCTAAACTTGCATCTTCACTGAAGAATGCTGGCAGAAAACTTAAAGATTTCAGTTCTTTGTCAAGTGATATCTAGAAACATCAACCCAAACTGCAAGAAATAAGAAAAATAATCTATTAGAAAATTATGAGATACATTAGTCAAGAATCCAACATCTATTTTAAAGAATCACAACTAAATAACATTTGGTAGATACTAGAAACAAATGGAATGAATTAGCATAAAAGACGAGCTAGATTAACAACACCACGACAGAAGCATTAAAACAGAGTAGCTGGCAGCAATATTGTTGCAGCATAGGAGAAAATTTCAAAACAAAATTTATGTCGTTATGAAGTTGTGTAGAAAATAAAAAACAGAACCAGCATAAAAGATATGTACAGTTGTGGTGAATTCAAAAATTAATGTACTATGTTCTAAATGTTGCGCCTTCTTATCTCTCAACTCATCTCGTATTGTCTCATCACTTCACCTCAACTCGTCTCCTCCTCTAACTGACTTTGTTTAAATAAATTAAGAGTTCAAATGTAACTCCGACTATTCTCTAAATAATCACTAACTTTGCATACAACTATAGACAAGTATGAGTAGTAATGCTAGGTGCAAACAGAGGTGGGTACTGCCGGAGTCGGGATACAAACTAAACACAGATGGCTCTTACAACGGCTCTTGGATAACAGGTCTCTCAGCAAGAATAAATGTTCTCAAGGCTCTACATTCGGAACTACTAGCTCTAGTAATAGGACTAAAAATGGCGACTCGACAGAATATCTCCAATCTACAAATTGAAACTGAATCAACAGAAATAGTGCAGATGATTCACAAAGGTCATGATTCATACACTAATATAATTTTTGGATGCAAGCAGCTGCTCCAGAAACCGGGGAACCCAAGGATTAGCCATAGTCGCAGGGAGAAAAACATGGTGGACTGTAGTATTTCTATTGAGTTGGTTTCAAAAGGACTAAATGAATAACTTAAAAGACGAGCTAGAGTAACAACATGTTGGCAGAAAACGTTAAAAAAGAGCAGGTGGCAACAATCTTGCAGCAGAGTAGAAAATTAATGTACTATATATGTTCTAAATGTTGCGCCTTTTTATTTTTATTCGAAGGCAATACATCAGTCTCTCGCCTTACCTCGTCTTGTCTCGTTGCCTCTCCTCAACTCATTTCCTCCTCTAACCAACTTTGTTTAAATAAATTAAGAGTTCAAATGTAACTCCGACTATTCTCTAAATAATCACTAACTTTGCATACAACTATAGACAAGTATGAGTAGTAATGCTAGGTGCAAACAGAGGTGGGTACTGCCGGAGTCGGGATACAAACTAAACACAGATTACTCTTACAACGGCTCTTGGATAACAGGTCTCTCAGCAAGAATAAATGTTCTCAAGGCTCTACATTTGAAACTACTAGCTCTAGTAATAGGACTAAAAATGGCGACTCGACAGAATATCTCCAATCTACAAATTGAAACTGACTCAACAGAAATAGTGCAGATGATTCACAAAGGTCATGATTCATACACTAATATAATTTTTGGATGCAAGCAGCTGCTCCAGAAACCGGGGAACCCAAGGATTAGCCATAGTCGCAGGGAGAAAAACATGGTGGACTGTAGTATTTCTATTGAGTTGGTTTCAAACGGACTAAATGAATAACTTAAAAGACGAGCTAGAGTAACAACATGTTGGCAGAAAACGTTAAAAAAGAGCAGGTGGCAACAATCTTGCAGCAGAGTAGAAAATTAATGTACTATATATGTTCTAAATGTTGCGCCTTTTTATTTTTATTCGAAGGCAATACATCAGTCTCTCGCCTTACCTCGTCTTGTCTCGTTGCCTCTCCTCAACTCATTTCCTCCTCTAACCAACTTTGTTTAAATAAATTAGGAGTTCAAATTTAACTCTAACTATTCTTTAAGCAATCACTATTTTTGCATATATTTATAGAAAAGAATCCAACATCTATTTTTAGAAAACACAACTAAACAACATTTGGAAGGAAATAGAAACAAACGGACTTAGTGAATAACATAAAAGACAAGTTGAAGTAACAACATATGGGCAGAAAATGTTAAAACAGAGCAGCTGGCAGCAACTATTTCCTCCTCTAACCTACTTTGTTTAAAGAAATTAAGAGTTCAAATTTAACTCCAACTAGCAATTTTGCAGCAGAGCAGAAAATTAATGTACAATGTATGTTCTAAATGTTGCGCCTTTTTATTTTTATTAGAAGGCAATGCATCAGTCTCTTGCCTTACCTCGTCTTGTCTCTTCGCCTCTTCTCAACTCATTTCCTCCTCTAACCTACTTTGTTTAAAGAAATTAAGATTTCAAATTTAACTCCAACTATTCTCCGAACAGTCACTAATTTTGCGTACAACTATATACAACATTGGTCAAAGAACTCAAGTTCCTGTAAGCATAAACTAATTATGCAGGGACACTGAATGTGATAGATATATACATGAAAACATTAAAATAGAATAGCTGGCAGCAATATTGTTGCAGCAGAGTAGAAAATTTCAAAACAAAATTTATGTCGTTATGAAATTGTGTAGAAAATAAAAAACAGAGCCAGCAGAAAAGATATGTACAGTTGCGGTTAATTCAAAAATCAATGAACTATGTTCTAAATGTTGCACCTTTTTGTCCCTCGACTCATCTCGTCTTGTCTCATCACCTCACCTCAACTCGTCTCCTCCTCTAACTGACTTTGTTTAAATAGATTAAGAGTTCAAATGTAACTCCAACTATTCTCTAAATAATTACTAACTTTGCATACAACTATAGAAAAGTATGAGTAGTAATGCTAGGTGCAAACAGAGATGGGTACTGCCAGAGTCGAGACACAAATTGAAACTGACTCAACAGAAATAGTGCAGGTGATTCACAAAGGTCATGATTCATACACTAATATAATTTTGGATGCAGGCAGCTGCTCCAGAGGCCGGGGAACCCAAGGATCAGCCATAGTCGCAGGGAGAAAAACAAGGTGGACTGTAGTATTTCTATTGAATCGGTTTCAAATGGACTAAATGAATAACATAAAAGACGAGCTAGAGTAACAACATGTTGGCAGAAAACGTTAAAACAAAGCAGGTGGTAGCAATTTTGCAGCAGAGCAGAAAATTAATGTACAATGTATGTTCTAAATGTTGCGCCTTTTTATTTTTATTAGAAGGCAATGCATCAGTCTCTCGCCTTACCTCGTCTTGTCTCTTCGCCTCTCTTCAACTCATTTCCTCCTCTAACCAACTTTTTTTAAAGAAATTAAGAGTTCAAATTTAATTCCAACTATTCTCCGAACAGTCACTAATTTTGCGTACAACTATATACAAAATTGGTCAAAGAACTCAAGTTCCTGTAAGCATAAACTAATTCTGCAGGGACACTGAATGTGATAGATATATACATGAAACAAGGCAACAATTATAAACTATAAGAATTCACTGACTTTTTGATTTATATACATAGAAAGAGGTAAACTATAGACTACACCTCAAGCTTTATAGAGGACTATAGGACATCAAGAATTATAGACTTTTTGAAGGCGACTAGAAAAAATCCTCACACAAAGTAAGATCCAACTATGCACTTAAAGGTTCCTAACAGCAAATCAAAAGTTGTCCAGATATTTCATCAATTAGATGAGACCAAGATTCATTTTCAATATTGTATCTTTTTCTACTGCACAATTAACACAACAGGAAACAAGTTTGTTATTCCATATTTAATCACACATTAATTATGGTGTTACATTTCAACAAAATAAATTATAAAGTTGGGTATATTGTTACTAACTTGGTTAGCTGAAAAGGTAGTGGTCATTCAGTTGAAAAGGACGATGTTGTAGCTGGTACATGTGATTGATGAGCTAGGAAGAGTTCTTTCATTTTCATTACTTCTTTCATCTCATCTTCTAAGGTAGACAAGCGATTGTTCAAGGATTTGTTTTCCTCAGTCAAGGATTTGTTCTCTTCATTCAAGGATTTAATATCCTCTCGCGTTGAATGTAGTGCAGATAACAATTCAGCTTTTGAAGAAGTTCCACCTTTCAAGTCTTTTGCCTTTAATCCACCCCCAAATCCAAATACGTGGCTACGAGTTTGAGGTCCACAACATTTTTCAACAATCTCTATGCTAGGTAGAGATGGATCTGCTTGAACAATTTCTTGGAGTTGAGCCTACGAAATATATAAAAGAACATTTTCTATCAAAACACCTAACAATTTCAAGTAATAAACATATATTGAATTTACCAAACGTACATGTTTTTCAATTGCTTCAGGTTCAACAAGCTTGTTATCTTTCTTACGAGTCTCAAAGAAAATAGTTGCCAAATCTGGTGGATTTCCATCTTTCCCGCCCTTTACATGAAAGTCAAACATGTCAAATAACACACACCTCATAAATATTACATTTAGAAAACTAATTTTATGATAATACCTTTTGATAAATAATCTCTCGAATAGGCTTGCTACCAATATGATGAAGCATCTTCAACTTTGCTCGATTTGCTGCATTCCTAGTGCTTCTTGCCTATATTTGTTCACAGTAAGCTTCTAGTGCAAGTACTTATAAAATGTAGATCACCAATCTTATGATCTTGAAAGTTGCTTATAAATGAAAGAAGCAGCGAGTTGATCCTAAGAGGATCAATAGAAATAATGAACCATAGATAGCTAGTACAATTGTGAATATGCTCTCATAATGGGGCTCAGCTCTTGAAAAAATTGGTCTATACTTCATACAATGAGTTGATAAATGTGGCATTGCTAGATTCAAGAATAATAAATTAGGCATGGATTAGCTATTTGGTGCATCAAGAATACTAAGACACTATATAGTAGAAATGTTTTATACTTAGGTTTGTTTTTTAAGGTCTATTAGGTGCTAAGGAGGGAAATCAAACTGTAGAAAAGAGTAGAAAAGCAGACTATTAACTCAATAGGCATACCTGAAAATTTTCAGAAGTAAAATGTTCCTTTACTAACCATTCCCA